AATATGAAAAAATTTGCTGTCTCCTTTTTTTTTTTCCATTCATTTTTTCACCTCTTCAGGAATTCCATTTTTATTTTTATTTTTTCTACAAAATATATACATTTATATTCTTGCCATATACAGTTACTGTTTGTATCGGTGATTCTATAAATACATTTGTTGATGTTAACAGTTAAATTTTCTTAAATTGTATCACAATTTTTTCTTTAAATATCCAAATAAAGCTGAACCATTATTATCGTTTCAATTGAAAACAGACCAAAGTATACCAAAATTTGATCAACAGAACAACAACCGACATACAAATACATATATCAACGGTTAAAAATTATGTTGTTCCATAGAGTGGACAATGTGACAATCAAAAAAAGTGTCATCGGCGAATTATTAGAAAAAAAAAAATGTCTGACATTATCAATACTGTTTTTAGAACTGTGTCCCGTACAATTTAATCTTTGAGAGCATCTACCTCAGCAGATTCATCACTGAACCCAAGTTGAAATTTAATTCCAGATTTTTTTTCTGCGCTTAAAAGCTATTGTTCAATGCCTTAATCCCTTCTACCTTACAGTTAGTTTTTCCATTATATATTCTTCTTCTTTCCACTCAACTTTTTCACTGCACTGGGCATCTCAACATCAGTATATTAAAGTTTCATCATCGTCTTCTTTCCCTATTTTTCAACATCTTTCTTCTTTCCTTCATTTTTTATTAGAAAACAATTTACCATACCAAATAACGGAGAACAGAGATACTGGTAAAGCAGTAAAACACAACAAACAGATTGATTAAAAATAGCTAATAAGTTAATAAACCGAGAAAACCAACTTTACCATACGTGAAATAACTAGAAAAAATAATGATTTAAAATATAAAGAGTTTACAACAAAATCAACATCTTTGCTTTATTCGGCATCGCCCTTTACCGTTCATTTTGTTCCACTTTGGGTGTCTCCCTGACCCTACTCTTCTTCTCCATTTCTCTTCTGAATACTCCTCTTGTCCAGCCTTTTTCCGGTCAAAAAAAAAAACCTAAGTCACACTTGAAAATTATAATACAGTTCGAAAAGATTCACATCTTTTTAATTTGCATCTGTAAACTGTAAACCTGTACCGATGAAAGATAGCTAGACTGTTCGCTATGGGTGAATATGTCTGTTAAGGATTGCAACAAAAGTCTATTTTCATCCTTATCAAGACGATTTTAATACTGTAAAAATAAGAAGCGAAAGAAATGACGAGGAGGAGAAGGTGAAAGAGGATGAAAAGGAGAAAGAAGAGTTAAGGAAAAGTGTGAAGAAAAAAAGAATGTTGGCTTACCATCATTTTCAAAGTAACAAATTTCAAAATATACATTTTGTTTCATAATCCGTCGCTTGTTGATCTATAGGCCTATTCAGTGCATCAACATGGCTACTTGTTAAACCACTAAAATTGCTGTTATTTTTTTATGAGGGTTTTTTTTTTTAGATTCTATTTTATTTCCTAAAATAATTGGGGCGGCTTCAATATGGCACAGGAAGTGATAAACTAACGTGAGAGACTGAAATAATGGAACAAAAGGGAAATGGAACTACTTGAAATGGTCAAAAATAAAATAAAGAGCAACCAAAAGCAGTAAAAAAAAGAAAAATATGCTAATATAATAAAAAATACTAATAAATGATTTAATATAATAAAAAGAAGTTTTTGAAGAGGAAACCGTAGAGACAAAATAAAAATGTTGTACAAAAACAAATAAGCAATAAATGACTACAAAAAATTTCCTCTTGCAATATGTACTAAAGTATACATATGCTTTGGCATATATAAACTCTGTTTTTACAGTCATTCATTTTTGGTCATCTAATCTTTTTCGATTATTGCTATTACAGAAAAAAAAATTTTTTTTTTTTTTTGGACAAGAAAAAACTCTTGAAATTAAAGGTAAATTGGTGGCCCAACATATTTGTGCAAAGAATATATTGCTTAAATAACCACTACAGTTATAGCAGTTAACCGTTCTGTGGGTTGGTTATAAGTTGTCTAAAATTTTTCAACAGTTCAGATATACCAATTTTAGCATTCAGTTGACTGTTTAGCTCACTGAATTCACGTCTTCTCTTTGATAACTTCTATTTGCTTTGTCGATCAGCAACTATAACAAAAAGCAGTATAGTTGAATAAATTTGCAAACAGTTTAAACAGATGTAACTCAAATGTTGTTATTGTTTTTAAAATTTGTTTTTGTGAATAACCACTAAGCGCATAATAAAATCGTCTCAAAATACTGATTACTATTTGCACAATGATTTGGTAGGCATAAATTTATAACAGTAAATTGTCTTTTGAATTTTAGTAAAGCTGACTACAAACTGATAATAATCACCTAAATAGACTAACAACTAAATTGCAATCTTTTCAATAAGGATTACTTTTCTGAAATCAATATAAACTTAAAGCTGCATAAAATAATCTTTTTTATAGTTTTCCAGACTTGCTTAAATGTTCAAGCTCAAAGTATTAGCGTCATTGTTAACAGCCAATAGACTTTATGCCAACAACAAATTTCACAAATGCAGTAATAGGTTATTTAAAAATTATTGCTGTTGAAAATATTGGTTATATCATTTACACATCCATATACACACATCTGTTTTCGGCCACTAATCTGCCTTTTGGTATGCTAATTAACCTGATTAACCTGATTCAAAATTGAAAGCTTTGTAAAATCTTTTTTTAATCTAGCTTTTCTTTTATTTTTTTTTCTTCCTTACCATAAACAAAAAGAAATAAATGGAAGAGTTAATCCTCGCACTATACAACATAATTTCACTTTCTTGTTTCCGTGTTTTTTTCGTTCCCTTTTGACCCTAACTTTTTTTTTCATTGCTTTCGGTTCTTCCACTATTTTTTTTTTTTTTATTTAGTAGTCATCAATTTTTTTAAAACTTGTTTCTCTTTCCTATCTTAAAAATGCCGCTTCTTTTCTTATCAATAAATTATTTGTTTGATAGTATTTTTTAAAACCTGATTTAAGATAGGACTTGAAAATAGAAGAGTGATTGAAATAAAAAGAAATATCAGTGACCAAAGAAGCTATCATTATTAGAAAGTGTTAATAAAATCTTTCATTTGCTTATTGCATTCCAAACAGACAACAAAAAATGATGCAAATAAAACCGGTTAAAGTAGCTGTACTTTTAAACAGCCATTTGAACTCACTGAAGAAGGTTTAAAGAACATTAAAACAAATACCTGTAAAAAGTAAAGAAAAAAAAAAGCAACTGCAGCGTATTAAAGAAAAATTAAATTTAAAGAAATTAAAATACGATTCTTTTTTTGGTTTGATAGTTTCAAACCCTTCAGTAGTTTTGATAAAATGCAGGTTACATCTATTACAATTACTGTTTGGTAGCTTTATTGGTTGAAAGTAAAATAAGGGTTAACATAATAAAATAGGTTTATTTTTTCAAAACTTTTTAGTTTTTTTGACATAAAAATCGTTTTTTTACTTTTTCACCTTACCTAACTTTTGCTTTAGAATAAAAATTATCTGTTGTAAAGTGTAATCTGTTAGTATAAATGTCATTTTCTTCTGACAGTATTCTAAAAACAGAACGAGGAAGAACTATAATTAAACGATCAATTGTTTGACAAAAAAAAAATAAAATAAAATAAAGAATGGACTTCTTTAACCAACATCACTTCTTCTTTTTTTTTCTATAATTTAAATTATTAAATTTTTTAATCTGAAAATAAACAGTTTTATTTTATTCTTGTAGATAACAGAACTGTTTGTATACTGAGTGCTAACAAGTTGTTGTTTGCATAGATTAATCTACGGAAAGTGCAAATCCGTATGTTTTCTGCTATGTTGCTATTTTTATGTATCTCTTTAATCATCTGTTCTGTAAATATTCATATTAAGAGAAAAAAAAATTAGCAGAAGAATAGCCTATCTGCAAGTTTGGTATAACAACTTGTGGTTTTATTTAGAAACATAATTGACTTAAATTACCGAGTGTTGTCAATGACCTGCAACCGACTAAATCGTCTTCTATTATCACAAATTTTATGACATTTGCTATAAGCTGAATAATGAAGTAAACAGATGAAAACCTAAGAAAATAGCCACTAGTGTATTACTTATCAATCTTTTTGGCTATTATTGCAGCTCAACATTTTTTTGCAGATGACATAGCTTAGTTACATACATTTATATTTGAATTAAGTAATGCGAAATACTAGATGATTCTAGAATTCAATTTTGATCTTTCCTTTGTTTGTTTTTCTACCGATAAATAAAGTTTTCAAAAATGTCTTATCAAAAGTATATCAATGGTAGGGCGGAAAAGGAATAAGACGATGCAGTGGAGTAAAACTGTGCTTTTAGCAAGCGAAGACATTTCTTTCAAACAACGTTAACAAATCATTTTATTCATTTATTTTTTCTGTAATAATTAGCAGAAAATAATGCAAATAAAACGAAAAATTAACAAAAGATTTAAGTGCTAGGGTTTGCTTAGAATAATATACTAATTTAGTTTTTAAGGTATATCAAACTGTGATGTTGTTTTCACATTTTTTACGATTACTAAAGATTTGCAGACTGTTACTCGTACCTTTAAAGTAATCACTTTGATCAATTTGAGTAAGGTTTTAAAGACCTTCAAAATATTTATGTTAGAAGACCAATAATTTTTTGCAACTAACAGCTTTTTAGGTTTTTTAATCAGGAATAACTTCAGAATGATTGTACAGAATGTAACTGAATCAGTTTTATTTTGGTGCAACTTAAGGTCATCAAAATTTATATTTTTGACAGGTGGAGAACACAGTGCAATTTTTACAGATGAAAGAGAATAAATTTTCTGTTGAAAAGCTACGTAGCGTCGCTGATGATAGAAGTCTATCAATACTTTGGTAAGAGTTGTGAAAGTTCCTTAGCAATGCTCCAGAAGCCAGCAAAATTTCCTGACTTACTTGAAGTACCGCCCACGGCACAAGGCACTTTCGACGTTCATCGCATAAAATGTTATTCGTGCGTTGAATGGATATGCTATTTTCAAAAAAACGAATCTAAAACTGGCAGTTAATTAGCTTAAAAGTGACAAAAAGAGGACTGTTTGATCACTGAAATGATTAACTTAGCCTCTACTGTGTTAGTTTAGGCTGTAATTGAAGAGCAAACAACAACGTTTCAATTAATTTGATAAAAATTAATCGGAAGTTTCAAGGCTACCTTTCACTGTTCATTGCATCTCGCAGAAAGTTGAAGATGGCAATGTTGCTCTTAGTTGGTTCCGCTAACTTGTCTGACAAGTGAAGTTCCATGTTCAGTTGACATACATGCATATTAAGCTTATCAAACAGGCCATTCGGCAGTAAGGAAGGAAATAGATCAATCTGAAACAATACTTTTCGTTTTTCCTCAAAATATAAAGCAAAATTTTAGGTAAAAAAACTAAGAAAAAAAAAAGATAAAAACAATATTTATACATCTGATCGTTTTTAGGCATAAACATCGTTTATTCACTTTCCCAGTCCACTTAATTTTTGCTTCAAAGAAAGGACCAACTGTTATTGAAAACGATTTATTCACATTAGTATTTGATTGTCTTGAGAGTATTTTAAAAATATGTTATCAAAAAAAGTTATGGCTAGAAATTAAACTGCTTGTTTGGATGAAAATACAGTTGCTATTTTAGTGCTTTTTGGTAAACCAAGATGAAACAAAAGTTGATAAATAAATAAGAAGAAATTTACCTTTAAAAAAATAATGTCAAAAAATTTCTCCTGTCAATTTTTTTTAGTAACCTTCTAATTTTCTTTGCTTCAAAGAAAGGACCAACTGTTATTGAAAACGATACATTGCAGATTTAAATAAGTCTTTCTCAGTAAAGTTTATTTAAAAAAACGTTTGAAATAGTTGATGGCTTGAACATTTTAGATAGTTCTTTTTAGGTTGCTTTATTTTCTCAACAAATCGTTTAGCTTTTTGATCCAGCTGTAGGCCAACCACAGAAATTTCCACGGACTATCAGAACATACAAAGACGTTTGAAAAAATTGTCAATAAAAAACAGTAAATTTGAAAATATACCTCTCCACCTTCGATATCAATAGATAACCAATCCAGAACGTCACTTCTGCCAACCACATTAGTAATATAATCTTCCAAAGCCATCTGCTGAATTGTATAAGTTCGAAACAGAGTGCCTAATACAAAAAATACGATTAATCAGGTAGTTACCTTTGCAAAAAAAAAAAAAAAAAAAAGATCGTAAAGAAAGAAAAATTTTCCTTATTAACTCAATTTTTGTCTGTTTTTATATCAGTTTTTTTACAATGACTATAATAATGTACCTTACAAACTGTAAATTATAATCATAAAAAAAAAAAAAAATAAAACTTTTTGGAAGCAGAAAAAAAAAATTTGTTTTAAATTAAATTATCAGTTACCGATCAAGACAGTAACTTTTTTTGCTCCACTAACAGCACCTATCGCTCCTCGATGATACTTCCCTGGTACGCTTTCGAATAATTTTTTATTTGGTTTTGCAACTGGATCTACTCCATAAAATTTGCAATTTTTTGGAAACTTTTTTCGTAACGCTTTTTCAGCTCCAATCTCGTTACCGATTCCCAGCACCACAACCAGACATTTTTCGTTATACTGTTACAATAGACAACTAATTATGTATATATACACATATAAGTAAAAGATTAAATAATATATATTTGTATATGATACTGACTTCTGTTTATCATCAAAAAGCAACAGTTCTTTTCTTTATACATTAGTTAAGTGTTGTGTTATTGTTCAAGTAAATCCGAAAACGCTGATGACAGAATAAAACCAATAGTTACTGCACAAAACTCTTTTTACATCTGCCAAAAATTTACAAGTATTGTTAGCAAAATTTTTGTCACAGTAACGCATTTTCAGTGATTTTATATTCGGCAACGAATTAAAAAATAAAACTGGCAAGATATTACATGAAGTGGACGTATCGGAATTCTTGCATGCTTATATTCCGTATTCTCGTTTTGTAAAGGCTCTAACACATAATTATCAGAGGTATTGCTTTCCAACTCACATGTATCAATTGCTTTTTTTAGATTTTTCCAAAGCTAAAAAGCTGTTTATTATCACATTTGAACGTTAAATAAGGTTTAAGAAATAACAAATTTTTTGGTATGACAATTACTGAACTCACTGTGGTAACATTCATTGTATTGATCGCTTTTATGCAACATTTTTGATAAGTTTTCAACCACTGCAAAATTTTTAAATTGTATAAATTTTTATAGATGAAAAAAAGAAGAACAACAAAAAGTTCTCTGCTTTATATTTATGAGTGTGTTCAAAAAACTTCTTTCATTTAAGCTAAAGATTATATTGCAAACAAATCTGGAATAATTTTTTTTAACAAACGGTCTCATATTGTTCATTTAACTTAAATGCAGTGAACAATTTGCAAAATTCAAAGTTTTTACAAAACTAACATTTGGGATAGGCTGAAGACTTTGAAATAAGGGATTGGTCGGTAGGTCATAAATGGATGAAGAAATTCTTCTCTTTGAACAGCAGATTATTAAAATAAGAAGACAAAGAAAAACTGTTAGCAAAACACAGCGCTGTTTTATATTCATTAAATAAAGCCTAAATTTAGTGGATGCTTTGTGAACAACTTATAGAGATTTCTTGACTTTATATTTCAGTATAAAAAGTAATGTATTTTAAATTTTTTGACTAAAGCTTCTATAGTTGTGTTTTAAAACTGATGAATACACTGTTAAACTGCACTAATTTTGATAAACTCTTTGTTGTTTTTGGTCATTCAACAATCGTAGTTTGGCACTAACTGACAGAACGGTAGCTTTTTTAGATACACTGAATTAATTCTTATGAAGTGTATCAAAATGGATGAAATTGTCAAAAATATGCTAATAACAGATGTGTGAAACGATCTGTTTGTGTATCACTTTAATTACCCAACGTATCGGCAACGACGTAAAATTAGCAGTAAAAAAGTTCTGTGTCAGTCAATTGTAATTGTCACAATAATAGTTGGACACTTAGATCGAAGGAAATACGTATAACTTTAGTAACTTCATGATAATTTTGGTAATTTTCATGTTTCTATTTGTTAAAATAGTCTCTGCATTTAATGCAGTATTTAATTAACAGCTACATTAGTTAAAAAAAAAAAAAGATGAACAACTAATATTATGCTTAAAGTTTAATTTTTGTTTTTTTTTTTTTTTCTTAGACAATTAGCTGTTTTTGAAGCAAAAAAAAAACAAAAAACAGTATAGGCAGATTCATTTCCAACATGGTGCGAAAATTTTTTTGTGGCAGGATGAGAGCTACAGTAGTCAGATCGCCTAGCAATTTATTAAAAGTTGTGACCTACGTTCACAATCAGCATTGTTTAGCCGGTTTATTTTCTAAAAATCTGCAAATAGTTTGACAACATTCGATTCCTCAGAATTTTTTCACACCACAAAAACAGAACTGTAGCTATCAATATATTGCTATCTCGTACTGATCTGCAGCGTTGTTGTCCAGATATTCGCCAAAATGTAAAGTTGTAGCTCATTTTTAAATTGCTACTCTTTTTGTGACTTTGTATTGAAAATTGAGGATGTCTTAAAGTGTTTTCCAGAAAAGTAAATTTTTCTTTGAGGGTTTCCCGAGCTTTTTTTTTTTTTTTTTTTTTGCAAGTTTGCTTTTTATCAAGGAAAGTTTTTACAAACTGTGTTGGTATACAGCTGAACCAACTGGCTATATCCGCCTACCAACGAACTCCAATTAATTTATTTTTTCCTTTTGTTAAATATTTTAGATTTTTATTACCTTATATGATGGTTTTCCTGTCCTTATGACGGTTATATATATAATATATAATATATTACTATATATGGTATTATATATTATATATACATAATACATATATCTCAAAATTTTCTTAAATTTTGCTAATTAGTAGAGTCTAGGGCAGTATAGAAAAAGCCGAAAAAACCTGGAAAAGTGAATTTCCCGCCAAGTTGCACCCTCTCAAAGTTGCAAAATTTGCCAAGTTGCCACTTGACATGCCTACTTTCGCAGACTTGTAATTTAGGCCGTTTTAAGTTGAATTTAATGCTTTTTTGGTCGTAAGATTAACCATCTTCTGGACTTTTAAATGCACATTTATTTTCTAAACTCTGTTACAAAATAATAGAGAGCAAAAAATTTTGCACAAAATATATCTTTTTCAAAAGATTTAAAACTTTGTTTTTTTTTTTTTTTTTTT